ACTGTATGTTTATGTTCCAAAATTAATATTGTTTATGGCCTTCACACGCATTACAGTATGCTCCTATTCTTTTTATGGTCAGCTACTAAGATTTCCCTTCAGTGGTAAAATTCCATATAAATATTCAATACTAAAATGGGCACAGTAAAGACATTTAAATCTTTCTACGATCGACCAACGCACCACAAGTGCCCCTGTCGGTCAACCAATCACGTACCGCGGTATTTTGCGTCAACACACGTCACGATGTCATAGCCAATTACCTCCGGTACGTGTCTGTGCCATGCACTTTGAATGGCTGCATCTGTATAGTAATAGGAATTTTTAAATTTTGCTGACTTTTGTTTTTGAACCAGTGTATGCAAGTTTGTCTTCTTAGGGTCAGGGCGAAAGTTTTTACAAAAGGGGGAACTCAGTTCATTCCTGCTATAACTTTGTTTAAAATATGTTTGGATATTAATACATTTCCCATTGGCTCTTACCAATCACAGCCTCCTAATAATCCCCATCTATGAATTGGCTTCATTACTCTGCTCTCCCCCCCACTGATAGCTGATTTGTGGTGAGCGTTCTGGCACACTATGGCTGCTGTCGCATCATACAGGTGGATGCTGCACATTGGTGGTTCAGGGGAGTCCCCATTAACTGTAAACCGCTATGTTTATGAGAAAATATCTTGGATGGAATTCTGTACTTTACTGACTCGCTCTCTCTGCTTCCTAGAGAAAAGTTCTGGGGAGTTCTTGTCTTTTCCCTAACCTTAGACCAACTTGCCAAGGGTAACCTACCAGTAGTGCAAAAGCCCATACGACATAGGTCTAAAGTTCCCTGAGGGACTCAAGCCCCTCTACTAAAACAAGGTCATGATCCCAGGAGGGGACTATACAAAATTTAACCTACATATCTTGATTAACACACCACAATTATCTTTTCAATCTAATGTATTGTAGCAGCCATCATTTCACATGTAGACACTGAAGGATAAGAACTGGATGCAGCACCCTCATCGGTTGCCTTAAGGAGTTGAGAAGTGTTATTCAATTCTTCAGGTAATTTGGTTTTAATGTCTCTTCTAAATAGAGCTAAAGGCTGTTTCTCAGTAACTGACAGTGACAGTAAGTGACAGTAACTGAATTTTGCTATTTGTGAATATTGTGAATTAGCTTTGTTGATGATTATGTTTTGAAACTCCAAGGCAACAATTGTTATTCCAAAAGAGAGCAGGATTGGCTATAATATTTTTATTTCACAGATAATTATTGTTATAAACTACTGGTATGAAAGTAACTTATGTTTACTTTCCCAGCATGATCTGAACTATTTAGAGAGCTGAAAGGGTATCCTTTGAGGTGTTTGCCTAGCGGAAAGTGGGTTAAGACGCAGTGAATACAGATGAACAAAGGATGTCTTGTTACTTGCTCTAGTTAATGAACAACCTACAGGACAGCCATAGAGAACAACATTAATAGAGAGGCAAGAAAGGACACAGAAAGATAAAAGACAGAGAAAGAAGATCTTAGAGATAAATTACTTTTATATACGAAAAGGTATGTGCTGAAGGTATGGGAAAGACACTGAAAAAAGTGTTTCAGTATGGAATAAACATTCACCTGTTCCTTCACAGCCTACGCATGCTGACACAGCTACCTTCTTGTACTTTTTATATATACTCCATAACATTATTTAACATAATAACCTTGTCTTCACAATTGATTTAATATATTTAATTTTTTTGTTAGAAAATTGCATATGGTAGATCATATTTGAATTCTGAACAATTGTTAATAACTCTCTATGTGAAATAATGTGTAGTGCTCTTTTAGCATTTATCATTACATGACCATGTCAAAAACCTGCCCCATCACGCTTGCTACAATAGTTTTTCTCAAGCTAAAAGAATATCTACTGCAAGTATCTGTATCAGAAATCACATCCAGGATTTGTTTCCTTTTTTAATTTTTGAGCGTTAGTTAATTTTGTCAACTTATACATATTTCTGTTTCAGTTTTCACATTTCCCTGGGTATGAAATATAGATAATGAAAAACTAGGTATGAAACATAGGTAAATAAAACTGATATACAGTATATTTTGGGGGAAGAGTAACAAGTTTAGCTTCCCCCTTACTGTACTTTGTGTCTTTAATGTTTGGCAAAAGGCCAATTTATTTGTGTGTCAAGTTAGGCCTCCCACAACTATCTGATCCTATCTTGTTACAGTTATCTTGTTGATTGACACAGCCACTATGGCCTGAATCCAGTTGGCCAGTAAATTGTACTGGTATTTAAATGTGGCCAAAAAATTCCTGGTACATCAGAACAGATTGAAGAGTAGAGATAAAGGAGAAGGAGAAGAAAAAACACTGCAATGGGGTCCTCCTTCAGGGAAGCAAAACTACAGAACATGTCAAAATTATCTGAACACAGAGACCAACTTCAGGGACTAAAGACTTATAGTTGTGGAAATATTTGTTTTCTGTTTTGAAGTATCGAATTCACTTAGGAGGATCTGTAGAATTTTGCTTTTACTTTGAAATTATAGTGTTTTATGTCTATCAATGGTAAAAAAAAAACATAATTAAATACATTATGATTACATATTATTCTAAAAGCCACTAAACAAATAAATGTAAGGGGTCATAGGATTTATAGGACTTATAAAGACATTATATGACTTTGAATGGGATCGTAGAATGATTTTGTTCACAGTATTGAAAGTTTTTTTGCCTTGAAAGAATATCATTAGAGTTGAATCACAAAACACTGGTGGATTTCTTCCCAGCCAGATGTTCAGTTGTATCTCTGTATTACGCATCTTTCAATAATAAAAAATATTACTCTTTCATTTAAAACAAATGTATCTAGCTAGTAAGGAAACTACAGGGTTAGGATTGATGGATATATGGCGTCAGGTCTGACCAGTGCAAATAAAGTGCAAATGAAATTTATTCAGATACTTCAATGTTAATGGTAAAGGTACATTCTATTTATCCATCTATTTTTAACTAATTTTAACTGCTAAGGGTAACAGGGGTGCAAGGTATATTTCAACTTTTAGTTAATTGGAATAGTTGCTTCCTTGACACAGATCCAACATCTATTTTGTAGCTTGCAGTCCCTAAGGCACTTACTTACAATACTTCTTTATTAACTAGTTCTTCTTGAAAATCATGTTTTTTTTAGTTGATGTGGGTTATTAGCATATTTCTGGTTCAGCACATACCAATATGTCAAGGTTCTGTTAACATTAAATAAAAACCTGTATTTAGCCAATGATGTATGACCAACCTGTCTACTTATATTTCAATTTAAGGGAGAAAACAGCTTCTTTCTAACAAGCTGTTCACAGGAAACCATTTTCTTGTGCTATAACTTTACAGCTACCCAGCTGCTCACGACTTCACTGTAAGTATCCCTGATATTCTTGACGTAAATCTGTACATGTAAATTAAATCTGTATAAGTATGGATTGTGTTGTAATTGTTTAAACATTTTTTAGGATTTACTTTACTTAATACTATAAAAGAAAACAATGACAGTCATACATTTTATTTTTAAAATCAACTCAATTAAAACAAAACAATTAGTATGTATTACATAGGGCTGTATCATCAATCAATACTGTGAACCAATAACTATAAAAAGAGTAATTGATCAGTCAGTTCCTGTAAATTATTCTCTGTTAGGTTAGGGTTAAGGTTTAACTGTGTTTTCTGTTAGTTTAATACATGACGTACCGTGCCTTGCAAATGTATTCAGTTCTTCCTAATGATATTCCATTGTGTTGAATGATCTGTAAATATTTTTATAACATTAATCAAAATGTGAACGTTTAAACCTGATTAAAGCCAGGTCTGTAGAGCAGAAACATTAACATTGTTGCAAAACATACACATATATAGCAGCTAAGAACAAAATCTTCTGGTTTTGCCTTTAGTACAATCTGCTGTTTTGCCTCCCATTTCAAGTTATGTATATAGATATCACTTTTGTACAGCTATCACTTTTCACCCCAGGTAGTCTTTAGCAAACATGTTTCACTTATGGTTTGTTCACATAGCATTTTATTTATTATTTTATTATAATCAATATGCCAATTAATAAATAATGTATAAACATAGGTATTTTGCAATATATGCTAAATATCCATAAATTTTCTAACTGCTTCTTTCAGTTCAGGATTGCAAATTGATCCGCTCATTGACAATGAAAAATGAATATGGGTTTTAAGATTGAAAACTTCCATTACATGAATTGAATACATGAACAAAGATTACAATTCCTGACATGCCACACACATTAAGTAATATCCACAGATATGACAAAACAATAGCGTAGGGTTTTAAAGCCGTTACAGTACAGTATAATCAAAATCTGAAGTAAAAACTTGTTTCCTAATTACTTGTTTCTAAAATTAGCATTAAGACAAAATATAGATTATTTCAATCCAGATGTAAACTTGAGAAAAGTGCATTGCAACAAGATAGAACAATAAAGTATTTTTTATATACAGTATCTGACTAAGTAATTTGTTTTGTAAACCACCCCTACTTTCTTATTTTCTTTTTTTAATATTAAATCGTTAACATACTGTAATATACAGTATGAAATGAATTAAAGTCGAAACAGTATACAAATCAAATTCTTTAACTGGAAAAAGACTGTCCCTATGGGGGACTGAGCATTGAGTGGGATTTGAAACCAGGTGTTTTCAGGTCAGAGGCCAAATACTGCCATGTTAAACATTCAGTGCACCACCTGGCGGGTTCAGAAAGTAGTGCAATCATAATACATAATATTTTTTAAAATACTACATTAAGATCAGAGCTTATTATTATTATTATTATTATTATTATTATTATTATTATTATTATTCTACATGCATGCTGAATAACTGGATGTGTATGACTGCAAGTAGTTCAATTACTTGGGGTATTATCAAATCTTTCTTGGAGAAGGGTTTACTGTATTTTACTACCAATATAGAAAATAATAGTAATGGGACAAATCGCCTCCCCTCATTTGCAACATGCCCACATTTGCAACATATTAGCAAGGCTATGGTCAGGCCTAGAATTATTCTGTTTAAAAGATTAATCTAGAATATAATAATTTAAGTAATATGACTTCTATTTCCTTGGAAATATATGTATAAACTTGTCAAATCCTGTAGTATAGCTCCTTAGCTAAGGTACTTCTAAGGTAGGCATCTCACAAATAGGATTCACCCTGACACCACACAAGTGATATAATGCCTAAATGGGTGCCACTCAATCATACTGATTCCCACCTATCATAAATACACTGAGAGGTCTGGTTGGCTCAATAATAAAGAACATGCCACATAGGTCTGTCTCTACACCTGATGATTTCATAACCAATCACCAGAATGACATGATTTAAATATTGTTGTACCCCTTTCTGTGCTTGCTCTCTTAAGATCTCACCACTCACTGTCTGATATCAACTGAATATGAATGTACATTCAGAGCAGCAACTACATACACATGTGAGCATACCTACCAAGTTTCGCTCTGTAAAACAGCAGCAGGGTTCAGGTAAGATGGAGGATCTTCTCCGCAAAGAAATGGGAAATCTTTAGACCAGGGAAATGGTCATTAAGGTGTTTACTAAGGAAAAAAGTCAACACCTTGACCACAGAGGAGGCAGAATTCACAGGGCCTAATAGGCATCTTAGAAAATGAATACAAGAGATGCAATTCAGAAGCTATTCATGCAACTCTTTTAAATGTCCCTTAAGACAGGACTAGTACTTAGCAAATGAATCATTGTTAATGCAGTATTGCAGCCTTCACAGTGTAGGGAAATAAAAAGCAAACAAAATGTAAGAATATATAGCTTATATTGTATTGTAGAATTTAAATAAAGGCATGTTGTATTATGCTGTGTATTATATTGTTTCATGGACAAAAATATCATATTTGGAATACTGTGCATAATTGTGATCATCAGTTTATACAAGATGATATTGCTGCTTAGTAATTAATGAGAGAAGAATGCCCTACACTGACAACTGGGAAGAACTGGACCTTTTTTTAGTCTAGAACAGAGAGGATTATGAGGGTAAGTATGTAGTATTCAAAATGTTAAGGGTATTCTTATTACTAAAGTTACTTCAACACATTTTGTTTAAAATGAGGACGTAAACATGAAACGGGGCGCAAGCAGAAACTGTGTGTATATTCATTTAAACAGGAGGGTAGGAGGTATTTCTTTTCCCAAAGGGTTGTAGGAGCTTGGAACAAGATACCCAGTCCTGCTGTTGAAACCCTGACATCTTGCAAGACATTGGTAAAATGCAAATCAACATGACTCAAGAATCAATAACTCATATCAGCATGCAGAGTACATTTCAAAATAAATTCTAAAACAGTTCATATAAATCTTTTACCCTGAATAATACAATTTATCAAAGCCCTTTTTTCCATTTCAGATTAAAGTTTACACCAAGAAGAACATGTCATACCTGTCACCTGTACAGATTATTGGTGGACAAGGAGGTGGTTCCTTTAACTTCACTGGTACAGACACTGGAGCCACACTGAAAAAGATATGGGTGTGGGTAGGAGGCTGGCAGGTGAAGGCTATAAAGGTTTGGCTTACTGATGGTCAATTCAAACAATTTGGAAATGCTTCTGGGAATTTTACTGAATTTCAGTTTGAAGATGGAGAGTTTTTTACCTCACTTTCACTGTGGGGAAATGGAGCTGGAACACGTCTAGGTGCCATCAAATTCAAGACAAATCGCTCACGAGAATTTTTTGCACATATGACTGAGTGGGGTCTTAAAACAGAGTACCCAATTGATATTGGTTCTGGAATTTGCTTGGGAATTGTAGGAAATGCAGGTGCAGACATTGATTGCTTAGGATTTGTATTCATCAACACTATCAAGTCTACTGTATTGACCAATCTCCAGTATCCCACCCTTCATCAAGCCATTCCGCAAGTTAATACGGAAGAAATCAAATCTCTGTCTTACCAAAACAGGTCCGATGTCCCTCAGTCATACAAAATAGAAACTTCAAAAACAATAACTAAAAAATCGTCATGGTCTGTGGCTAACAAAATGGAAGCAACCTTTAGTATAGAGGTGCAATCAGGAATTCCAGAGATTGTGGAAGTGTCTGCTGGGTTTAGCTTCACAATGGGAGTAGAAAGTAAATATGGCTTAGAGAATTCAGAAGAGAAAACTGAGCTTCTGTCTTTTCCTGTCCAAGTTCCTCCAGGAAAAACTGTGGATGTTGCCATCACAATTGGTAGAGCCACTGTGGATCTCCCGTACACTGGCACAGTGGAAATTACCTGCTACAATGGCAGTGTTCTGAAGTTTAATACCAGAGGTATCTACAAGGGCCTCGCTTACACTAATGCAAAAACAGTTGTGACTGAATCCTGAAACAATATGCAGTAGACCAAAGCTCTCAGGTTGAAATATAAAGGGGAATGTGAATCAGAATAACAGATTAATCTTTAATATCATTTTGGATTCGTCTTGTATATTTACATTGTGATTTTATTGGGGGAGTTTTTAAAATTCACTTGCATTATGTTTTATATGTGGTGTTTTCTTTTATTTTTTTCAGTTTTATCTTTTCTTGAGACATATTCCATATTGAATGTAGATTAATAAGAAATTTTTACTTGTAAAGTAGACAGGCAAACCAAAAGATGATTTACATAGATCATTTTACTTCTATGTGGGAGACCTCTCCTTGTTTGTTGCTCTTTTGATCAAATTGTACATTTCCTCAATAAAATTCAGAACTGGAAATTTGCTGTGTTGTGCATTCCTTCACCAAAATCCTATTTCAAAAGGCACATAAAAACTCAATTGCAACTTCTGTTTAATTTCATCTTTAAATTCCATTGCTATTTCTGAGCATTTTGGAGATTGCTGGACTTGGGTTTCAATCATATTATTACTTTAGTAATCTTATTTTAATATTTGACATTCTGTGATATCTAAAATCATCAGTAATGTGAATGTAGTTTATACATCCAGCAGAGTAAAAAAAGTAAGAGGTTTTGGTTTGACTGGGAATCAAACCTCGGACCTTCTAAGTAACAAGTATTTAAACATTGTTCCAAAGTGTCATTTGGGTTAAGACTTCAAATGTTCTTTGAATTGCTTAGTTTTTTTAACTAGTTTTTTTAATTTTACTGAACTCTGTATGTGTGATATGGAAGCGTTTCTTAAGTTGAGTTACAGATTTGTTATTAACTACTTAAGTAAATCTGGTATGATTAAATCTGTGACTATACAGATAGGTTGAAACTTTAAACATCCTTTGAATTGCCTAGTTATTAAAAAGGATTCAATGAGAAACTAACAAGAACCATCTATAATTTAAAAAAATCGACACAGCTATGAAGTATTATGACAGTTGCTAGCTAAAGCCTTTATGTAAATCAGTCTGCATTACTACTTCATCTTTCATTTAACTTCAAGACTGCAGGATCACAGCATTTCTGTGGCATATGTACAGTTACCAATGGTAACATACGGTATGTACCAGTTAGCCACACATTCAGTAATACCTACAGATATACCAAAAAAATAGTGTAGGTGTTTAAAGCCACTACAGTGAAATATATATTTCATAATCATAATCTAGATCTAAATCTGTATACCTCTAGATAAGAACAGTAAAAACCTTACTTTCTTCAGCAGATTTTTGTGTGATTAAAAGTGGTCAAATTGTATCCTTATGAAATGATAAAGTATCTTTAAAATGAAACTTATGTTCTTCACAGTGTGTGTACTGTAGTTTTTAAACATTAAAATACATGAATTGAATACATTACCAAAGACTACAATTCCCAGTGTGCCACAGACGCGAATCACATAAAGTAATATCCACAGAAATGCCAACAGCAACAAAAGTGTAGAGTTTTAAAGCCAATAAGGTACAGTATGTATGAAATACATTTTTCATAATCAAAGTCTAAAGTAAAATCATTTCTAAAGCAAATTCAGTTTGATTTTCTGATTTTTTAAATAAGTTTGAAACCTTTGATGGTATGTTTCAGGGACTATTCATAGGTGTGCAACACTGCCGTCCAGATATCCTTTGGCCAGGACAACCTGCTGCAATATGCTCAAAAGCAAGTGTAGCAGCAAGGCTTATTAAAATACAGGATTTAAGTTTGCTGCTCTCTTGCCAGTCCCTCTCTCCTTCACCTCAGTGGTGCTGGATACAGAGAGGCCATTCTATTTGATTCACATTTAAGGTGTTTTTCCAACTGATAGAGTGTCCTGATAAGGAACTCCCAATGCTGAAATTCTCCACCAACCATAATAAATGGTCTCTGGCGCCTTACTGTCTGGGAGATTCCAAGGTAGAGTCTCATCCCAAGGTTTACAACCCTAAGGTCAGGGTGCATTGTTTCTCATCCTTAGCCTTTCAGGAACTGGTAGGGCAGGTAAACCCCACGTGGGTCTCGAATACCCATGGAACTTTCAACCAATGAACGACCGTAGTTCCTCCAGGTTAAACAGGTAGCATAGGACTTCCTTGGGGTGCCTCCTGGACATTTTCTCAGACCCAGCTCCTCCTGGGCATCCTCAGACTCAGCCTGGACAACCACGTAACGGCCAGTGTGTCCAAGTGCCAGGACTCTCCTTTGTCCTAAGAGTCGAAAACGGAGGTTGCCAGCGCATAACCAAAGGATCCACCCAAGGTTAGCCCAGCAGCAAGCCTCGTGAACCCACCGTGAACGCTCACCTGATCAACAAATGAATTACGGTCGGAACTGTAGACAGCTGGATCTAAGTATTCAGGACTAGTGCTACATCAGAAACGAACCGGTCTTCTTCCTGTCTAAAGAGTGTGACCTGCTTGGACCCGCAGTCACTTTTT